GGTGTGGCCTGTAGCAGCACAAAGAAGGGGGGACTTGTCATATTATTTTAAAGGTGAAGCTGAGGATGAGTCTTTTTTATTATTCTTTTTCGTGGATGAGCTGATTATTAAATTAAATATATTTACTCTAATATTTAAATGCAAATAAAAAATGCATTTAATAATTCTATGAAGAACTGATTTCTGATCAGACACCACAAAAATTAGGCATCTAAAAGTAAGTTAAAAATACTAAATTAGACCCTTATTCGTTTCAAATTAATAATTAATCTGAAGTTTGACAGTTGCACTTGGTAAGACTTCTTGAAGTAAAAAAGAAAAATTTTCAGATTAACAAGATTATGTTACGTCTTGATGGTGAGGAGAACCCAAAATGCAGGCAGGCAGGCCAAACTTAAAGTAAATAAAAAAGACTAAGAAAAAAGCCTACGTGGTTGCAAGCTAATTAAACAAAAAATCAAAACTTGGAGCATGAGCATGAGGTGAAAACAAACATGGGTAAGCAATGGTCGGACGCTGAAGTGATGAAGAGAAGATCCTTAAATACAAAAAGGGCTGAGTGGAAGTGGGAAACAGCTGGGTGATTACAGGTGAGGACAGGTGAGTGTGGCAGGCTGGAAAAATACTAAGAAGCTGACTGAGGTAAACATGGCACAGGAAACTGAAAACAGGAAATGAGAAAATAAGACAATACCAAACAATGAAAAACCAATCTGAAAAATAATACCAAAAATAACCAAAACACAAGAATCATAACAGATTAATAATCCAACATATTCTGATCTTGTTTAGTATATGGGTCTAAAAACAAGATCTAAAATACTTTTTAGCTGATATCAGACTGTAAAACTTGGTTAGAGGAACAGTTTTCTGCAGTAAAATGACTCTACTGTTCAAAAACACTAACAGATTAAATAAGCTTCAYKTTAAACCTGGTCAGGACCAGGTTAGTTTCAGAGCACTTGTTACCACAGAAACGTTAGTGCTTCCCCTTTCATGCAACCAATTCAAGGCTTAATTAATTCAGGTTTACGCCAAAACCCCGGGTTAATCCCTTATCCTTGTTTCATGCAACAGGCCTCAGAACCGCTGGTTCAGTTTGATTAAACCAGTTCAGTTTGGTTAAACCAGATTAGTTTGATTAAACCAGTTCAGTTTGATTAAAACAGTTCAGGTTGATTAAACCAGTTCAGTTTGATTAAACCAGTTTAGGTTGATGAAACCAGTTTAGGTTGATT